AGTGGCATTGATTATATTCAAGTTGTGCTTCTACTTATTTAATGATGCAGTTTGCCTCTTTAAATGTTACTAAAATGCTGAGTAATTTTACTACAAAAAGATACACTAATCCCTTGGAACTATTCACATCTAACTTCCTTCCTTCTTTGCCACTTTATGCCATAATAAGGTGACATTGATACTGGAAATGAAGCTTTGTATCTTGACTTTGAAACATTTAAAATGTTTACTTTGAATGATCTGAGTTTCCACTTAAATATTAAATCAATTAGATTAGTAAATCTTGTTAAGTGCCATCAAGTCAGTTTCAACCCATAGCGACCCTGAATATGGTTCCTGAGGAGCGGCTGGTAAGCTTGAACTGCTGACCTTGCTGTTCAAATTGACCTTGCCGTCTAGTGCATTAACCCACAGTACCATATAAGAAGGTAATATATTCAAATAGCACTGCACTAGATAGTTCTAAAGAGCTCTGGTAGCATAGTGGTTACAAATCGGGCTGCTAAGCTCACTGTCAGCAGTTCGAAACTACCAGATGTTCCGTGGGAGAATGAGGCTTTCTGCTCCCGTAAAGATTTACAGCCTCGGAAACTCTGCACAGGGTCTCTATGAGTCGGAACTGACTCCATGGCACATAACAACAAGAAGCTAATTCTGCCACTAGCTAGTAATATCATTAAGTGCTTTTGAGTTGGTTCCAACCCATAGTAACCCTGTATAGGGTTTCCATGAAGTAGCTGGTGAGCTTGAACCACTGACCTTACAGTTCAAACTGACTTTGCAGTCCAGCGCATTAACCCCCAGCATCACACCAGGACTGTAATATAGTAAAATGTAGCATAGATTAAACTCTGAGCCTATTTTGTCATTTATAAAATGTGGAACAGCTATCATGGCTAAGAACACTTTCAATAAAATTCTGTTATTATAGGTAATGGAGATTACTATCTGTTAATGGAAACAAAAACTAGAATAAAGAAATTTCACATAAATTTAGTGTTAGTCCTGAATTTTATTAGATCACTATATAATAGAAGGAAGAGTGCAGTGGCTACATACAATAAGCAATGAACTGTGAACCATAAGGTTGGTGGTTCAAGTGAACCAGCTGCTATGGGAGGAAGATAAGGCTTTCTACTCCCTCCAAGATATATAGCCTTAGAAACCCTATACAGATGAGTCAGAACTGACTGGACAGCACTTAACATATAATTCTTAGAGTGTATAAGATATCACATTTCACTGTATTTCTTTGCTCTTACAGGACGAAATATTTGACATGGTAAAACCAAAGGATCCTCTGAAAATCTCTCTTCAGGATTTAATCAGTAGTAATCAGGGAGACACAGTTACCACCATTCTCATAGATCTCAATGGCTTCTGGACGTATGAGAACAGAGAAGCCCTTGTTGCAAATGACAGTGAAAACTCTGCAGACCTTGAAGATACCTGATTTCTAAAATCTCAATGCTGGGTGCAAAACCTTTGAAGCAGAATTCTGAGACATGGCCTAAATAAAACACTTTCATCTGCCTATAGAACACAGCAAATGGGTTGGTTACTGGAATTTTGGTGGCAAGAGTTTGGAAGCAGTGAGACCAAATAACTACTTTTTGTGTGTGTTTAAGTGCTGTAGAGTCAGTTCCAACTCACAGTGACCCTATGTAGGGTTTCCAAGAAGCAGCTGATGAGTTTGAACCAATGACCTTGCGGTCCATGGCTTGCTTTATCCTACAGCGCCACACCAGAACTCTACTTTTTAGGAGGTAGTAAATGCTTGTTCCACTTAATTTACATATGAAACTGTGGGTTACTGAAGACAGAAGGTATGTCAAATCAGAGTCATCTTTAAAAATAAAGGTTTGTGTTTTTTTTCTAAATTGAGAATATACACAGCAAAACATCACCAATTTAGTCATTTCTACATGTTCAGTGTAGTGACATTGATCACATTCTTCAAGTTTTACCACCAATCCCACCCTCCTTTTCTGAGTTACTCTCATTAATATAAACTCAGTTCATAAGGTTCCTATCTAATCTTTGGAGTTACTGTTTTCCATTTGAACATACTGACAGTACTTAAAAGAGCATAATGCTATGAGAGATTGGTTTTGTTTTTAAATATAAAAAAATATCACTGGGGGGGAAAAAAAGTATAATGCTCAAGGGATGTTTATTTTTTATTTAAAGTTTAAAGATGATCATCTCATGTCAATAGTTTCACTGGTTCATCCAACAACCCTCTCATTGTTCTACAAAATCTACAGCCCATGATCATTTGAAATCCTGTTCTGCATTTCCCCCCTGTAATCAGTTTATCAGATGTTCAGTAATGGTAGCTGGGCACTATCTATTTCTTTTGGTCTCCTGGCCAAAAGAGGCAGTTGTTGGAGGCAATTAGTCACACACATTCCATATCCTCCTATTCCTAACTTTCCTTATAAAGATTTTATGAAATGTGTGACAATCAGACTTTAATATTGAGGAATAGTTTATGTCACTTAACCTTCAGTCTTCTAAAATATTACATACACCAAAGATGATAGTGTACTTTCCCATATATTAGCATAGTTATTTCATTTCTGGGTAGAAGTGTTGAAATACAATATTCCTTTTAATAGAATGCTTCCAATAAAATGTATTCAAACTAATATTTTCATTAAAAGTGTTATGAAAGTTTTATCTAACTCTATTAACCAGTACCATGATTATATTTTATAAAGCATAACTATATTTTAAGAGCCATGGAATTTGTTCATTCACTGTAAAAGGATCTTCAATTAAACTAACTGTTATATTTTATTTAGTTTTATAAGATGAAAGATTAGAAGAGGGATCAGTAGTTATTAAAAGACTTGAAATCGGAATTAGGAAAAAAAAGGCTTAAAATAAGACAAACGATTTAATGCATTTATGGGAAAATTTATAGTTTCATAAAAGTATAAAATTTTAAGGCACAGTTAATAACTATGTAAACATTACAAATTGGCAACTATTGGACAAGTAGAGAAAGTAAAATTCAAGGAAAATAAAACCACCATCGGTCAACTACAATCAGAAAAGGTCTCTTTTAGAGACTTAGTGCCTTAAGATTTAGAACATCGCTTTTAGATATGAATGCCTTCACTTGATACTCAAATATGAGTTGAAGATACTATCTCAATTCAAGTTAAAACATTTGAGGGAAGAGGTCAGATTAGTACATTTTAAAGCTATGTGACGATTACATACTCTATTTGGTTTGAAGATTAATCCTTTATGCATTAAATTGTATCATTTATATCCATGAGTAAAGATTACCATTACATACTATGAATCACCATACTGTGAATCCATAACTGAAAACTAATATACTTAATTATCTTTCCTGAATTCTTAAAATTTTAACTGAAGCATATGGTGGTGGTGGTTACATGCCAGGGAGTCAGTTCCAACACATAGCAGCCCTGTAACGGGTTTCTGAGGCTGTAAATCTTTACGGGAGCAGAAAGCCTCATGTTTCTCCTACGGAACAGTTGGTAGTTTCGAACTGCTGACCTTGCGGTTCACAGCCCGATTTGTAACCATTACTCTACCAGAGCTTCTTACATATAGTAGTGGCCAAATGTGTATGATCATGGATAATGTATTTTCATAATAGGCCCACTATACCTAAAGTTGTAAATTTCTTTGATACGAGAAGGCTTCAAAAAGTTCAAGGAAAAATTCCATTATCTTTTAATTCCGTTTTTCACTAGCTTTTTGAAGCCCCCTAGTAAATACATCTTAAGATTGGAAGTGTAATGCTGTTAGGCTATTAACATAACCATTGATTTCTAAAAGCTGTTTTAAGTTTGTGAGCAACCATTTTTTTAAAAAACATTTCTAGAACATTCTTCCTGATCCATATTTGGTTACAAACCAAAGTTATACCATAAGATTCTGAATATATATTTAGGAATATTTTCAAAATTAGCATTGTATTATATATCCTTGTAAGTTCTGCAACTAGTACAGTGGTTAGAGAAATGGCCAACCTGGTTCAAGTAAATTGCCCATCCCATTATTACTTCAAAGTGGTTAATGGTAACTAACACTGGCTGCTTGTACAGTAATAGCTCCTGAGGAGTTAAATCTCCATTTGTACCAACCACTACTCGAGTCACAAGATGCTGTGGTGTGAAACATTATATATTGCCACTTGAATACAAATACATTCTATTTCTAGCACTTTTAAGATTTGTTTAAAAACTACTGAAAAGTGACAAGATTAAGACTAAAAAATAGAAACCCTTCTTAGTATTTGGTGGTGGTATAAACTGGAGTCCCTAGATAGTGTAAATGTTTAACATGTAAAGCTGCTTTAGAGGGCTGAATTCACCTACGGGTGCTCAGAAGGCCTGGCAAACTACTTGTAAAAATTAAAAACCCCATGCAGCACAGTTCTACATGGACACACACAGGGTGTCAAATAGTCTAGTTAGTACAGATTAACTTCAAACTTACTCTTCCATAAAATAATTCTCAATGAAACAAAATTCAAAGTGCTTCCATCTTAATCCTTTTATTACACTCAATGAATCAGCCTTCAATGTGAAATCAAGGTTAGCTAATATATATAAATGCAAGGTAGCATGAGAAAATTTAGGGGGAGAAATGCTCATTTTTATCTGAGACTAAGAATATCAATTTCAATAAGCCTTAATCAGCAATATCTAAGTTTTACAAACACAACTGACAAACAAGTTTGATAATTTTTAAAATTCTAAGTGGCAAGTAGGGCTCTACAATGTCCTTAACCTTTTTTTTTAAGATTTTTTTTTTTAAGTCACTAATTTGACAAAATAAAAGAGTACTAATATCCAAATTTCAGATTTAGCTTTTGGTAGATACAACGTAACAATGAAGAAACATTTTTCCATTATGGATATCTTAATAATTTAAAATATAAATAAGAATATTAAGTCCCATTGAAGAAAGAATGTGAAAGTTCATGGTATAAAAAACTCCAGGACTTGAAGTTTGATAGTCATTTCCTTATCTACTGTGGGACAGAAACTGCGTTTTGGTTTTGCTTGCTTTCCATAATTACTTCACAGTCTCCTTCCATTTCAAAATTGATATTCACAAATGAAGTGGAAACCACTGTTTCTGGTTGATCTGTCTGAACAGAATCAGCCTGCAGCTTCTTCTGTTGTTCTTGATACTGTCTTTCAGCTTCTTCAGACATCCTGTTTTCTTCTTCTTCTTCTTCTTCCTAAAAGGGGAAAATATGAAGAACTGTTGAAGTATATATATGTCCAGAAGGGAAAGTATTTTTTTCTTCCACTGTCAGCTTGTCTTGTCTTGTCTTTTAGATCAAAACATTAGTGTTCTACTAGTTCAGTTTGATCTAGTAAGTATATGACTTAGACACCCTTCCCCATTCTTAAATAACTGCTGTATATAATAGTTAAAGGGAAAATGAAGCTATTTAAAAATATGGTATATTATTGCTTATCGTGGATGAGACCTGATGATGAGACTTTTACAGGGACTTGATGTTTTCAGACTGAGTCTAATAATCACAGTAAATAATCTAATAAGTACATATACTGCTTTAATTCTAGGAAGCATTTTCAAACGTAGGAAACAATTACAGAGAAAGACCATATAAGGAGGCTAGTACAGTCCAAATGAAGTAATGAGACTCTTAAACCTGGCTGATGGCATTTGTTCATAAATATTCATCTATATTCATTTACTCACAATATTTTTAAGCCACTTAACATATAAAACCAGCTGACCTTTCCAGACTCATCTCCAACTCCCACACTGTATCCTATGTTCACTAGCTACAATAAACTTCATATTCTTAAAATTTCCCCACACATGTAATGTATTTTATTCCTTCACATTATAGCTTAACTTGGTTGCCTTTCTCATTTGCTTAACTGAAAATACTACCACCAATATACACTAAATATCATTCTTCTAGGTATTTGTACATATTCATTAAATCCACACAGCAATCCTAAGCAATTCTTATTATAAAATGAGATTGAAGCTTAAAGAAATGACATATCTTGCCCAAGGTTTTGAAGTTAGTAATAAGTAGCATAGCCAGGATCAGGCCCTTAGGTTTTTGAGCCCATGATCTTAAGCACTAAAGCTTTCTCACTAGTTAAACTCATTTCACCCCAACCCGAAAACTTCACTATATTTACAAACAGAACTGCTCCCATCTTTGCACCTTAACAACCAGCACATAAACTTTTCTTTTGCAGTACTTGTAGTTTTCTGTACACCAAGCCCACTCCCTTCTGCTCACAGTTTATGTGTCCAAAATACAACTGTGAGGAAGGCATAGGATCGCACAGCATTGGAACCAACTCCACAGCACCTAACAACAACCACCACAAATAAAGGGACCATCTCTTGCTTCTTCATCTTAAAATCAGGATAATAATCAAAAGAGGTGTGTGAAGATTAAACTATACAAGGCATATAATACCTAGCACAATAGTTGAAAAATAGCCAGTCTTAAAAAGACAATTTCTCCATTTTTCTAGGATTAATAAATTGGAGATAATATTTTTAAGTGCCATCAAGTTGGTTCCAACTGTATAGGGTTTCCAAGGAGCAACTGATGAGCTTGAATCACTGACCTTGCAGTTCAAAGGACTTTGCAGTCTGACGCATTAGCCCAGAGCATCACACCAGGACTCCGGTATAGATAGCTAAATCCTTTCTATGCCACCTCACAGTAACTAGAGTACCACAAGAGCTTTAACTAAAGCCAGCTGTTATTGGATTGTTTGGGAGCAGCAGCTCAGTCACAAATTGGAACTGAAGTTTTCTTCCCCCTAATTCACAGTTACAGGGAAGAAAACTACATCTGAAATTAGAAGATTTGGTCTTAAAACCAGATCTACCAGTTCCTAGTTTTGTGACTGGTAGAGTTACTTAAACTTCTCTGCACCTACTTTCTTACATAATATACAAGGGACTTCAAAACAGTTTGTGAAAAAATGAAACTGAAAGATAAAGGAATTTTTTTTCCCTCCTTTTGTGGTCCTCTACTGAACTGACAGAGGCAAAATGAGGTTCAATCCCTTTGTGGCTTCTGACAGGAGCAAAAACCATAAAAAGCATTCCAATGCAACTTCCCACATTTGCAGAAAGATTGTATCTTCCCCTCTTTCCAAAGAACTGAGACAAAAATACAGTGTTCAGTCCATGCCTATCTGAAAGGATGATGACGTTCAGGTATGAGGATACTTAAAAGGTCAGCAAATTGGCAAAGTCATCCAGGTTTACAGGAAGCAATAGTAATCCACAGAAAACAGGTGCAGTGAGATAACACTAAGGGCACAGTTGTCCATGTGGGCATTCACCCCAGTAAGCTGGTTAAAGATAAGGGTAAAACCAGACAAAGACCACAAAAGGATCCTTAAGTGGAAAGCCAAATTTCACCAAGTAGGAAAGGAAAAGGACAAACAGGGAGAATCAACTGAGAAGATGCAGAATTTAAATTTGTATACAACTTCCATTAAAAACCAACTAGGAAAAAAGAAAATGTAATTTTTCCACAAACTTTTTGAAGCCCTCTCCATAAAATTTTCAGATAGTACTAATTACTGAGAGATAGGAGTATGTTAAAGTGCCTTACATGACACTTAGCTTATAAGAGTTGTTAAGGGTCGTCAAGTCAGTTCCGACTCATAGCAACCCTGTACAGGGTTTCCTAGGAGCAGCTGGTGGGCTTGAACTGCCGATCTTGCGGCTTGCAGTTCAGTGCTGATCCTACAGCTCCACACCAGGAGCCCACAGGAGAGATTCTATAAATACATTCATTCAAAATATATGGAGTATGTACTATATACGCCAGCCACTGCTCTAAATTCTCAGACTAATAAACGAGACAAAAATCACTGCACCTCTACAGGTAAAATTCCAATGGAAGAATGACAGAAAATAAACATTAATAACAAATTATGCAGTATGTTAAAACCAAACCAAGTTGTCCTTGAATAAAATATGCCCTCCATGAGGTTGTAAAGGCTCTGCTCTTTCAGAAAATAACCAACAGGCCTTTCTTTCAAGGTGCCTTAGCAGTTGATGGCGTAATTTGCACCACTCAGGGACTCCTATGCAGTACATTAGGTGTTAAGTACAAGTACGTGAGGTAAAAACAGCTTGGTAAGGGGAATTGGAAATCTTTAGTAGGGAAAGTTTATAGGCAATTGTATTTCTAAATAGGGTTGTCACACCTACTTTTCTGGGGTGATGTGAGCAAAGTAAGGAAGTCAGCCACACTCATCAGAGGGCTTCAAAAAGTTCATGGAAAAATCCCATTATCTTTTAAATACATTTTTCCACAAACTTTCTAAAGCTCTCTCATGTATCTAAGGAGTCCTGGTGTGGCACTGTGTGGGTTAATGCACTGGACTGCAAAGTTGGTTTGAATGGCAAGGTTGGCAGTTCAAGTTCACTAGCCACTCCATGGAATCCCAATACAGGGTTGCTATGGGTCAGAACCGACTCAGCGGCACTTAAACAACAACATATATCTAAAGGAACCCTGGTAATGTGGTGGATTACAAGCTGGGCTGCTAACCACAAGGTCAGCAGTTCGAATCTACCAGTTGCGCCGTGGGAAAACGAGACTTCCTACTCCCATAAAGATTTACAGCCTCAGAAACTTTATTGAGTGTTGCTATGAGTCGGAACCAACTCAGTGACATACAACCAACCTCATTTATCTGTGGGAAGACCATTCCAAGGCAGAGGAAACAACCAGTGCAAATGCATCAAGGGGGAACACGCCTAGTGTACTTAAGGAATGACAAGGATACTACCTTGGCCTGGACAGACTGAACAAGTGTTAAGATAGTAGGAACAAGTCAGAGTCATTGGGGTCTGGGGGTACCTGATGGAGAGGAGGTAGGGAAAGAGAACTTACAGGACACCTTACAGCTCTTCACAATGTTATGGAACTGACAATTTCCATGATTTGTCACCCCAGACACCCAAAATTAAAAGATTTAATATTGCTGATGTCAGAGCTATTAGTGTTTATATTGCTGTTGTTAAGTGCCATCGAGTCGGTTCTGACCCATAGCAACCCTGTACATGGTTTCCGAGGAGCAGCTGGAGAGCTTGAAGGGCCAACCTTGTGGTTCAAACCACCCTTGCTCCAGTGCATTTAACCTACAGTTAAATAAGGAGACACACCATGACTCCTTATATATCAAGTCTTTATTCTGCTCTAACATGATTGTTTCTTTGTATCTTTTACATATTAAATAGGTTTATTTATGAACCATAAATTAACACAGGTAATACAAAGTTAGAATTATATAGTTTATTCATTTCCTAGAATAAAACCTATAAAGTAAATATAAATTGAAACCTAAAATTTTACTATTAGCCGGGTCAATAAATTGTATCTCAGGACATACGGAATCGACAAATTTGCCATAACATTTATTCTGTAATACCATTTACTGAACACCAACATAAAAGAGACACGACTGAGAAAGTCCTTTATCATCATTTCAGGTAATTCTTATAATTACCTGTTAAATGCTGTTTTCATTCTTATTTTACAGGGATAAAACAGAGGCTTAGAAGGTTACATAATTCACCTCACCCAACAGCACACACCTTGTAAAAAAATGGGATTCAAACCTGTTTAATTACAAAATCTGCTCTCTTAATCACTATGCTATCTACCTCATCTCCCTTGTCTTAGAAGCACTATTACAAATGTGGAGGAGCACATAATACGCAATTGATGAAAGCTGACTTTTTTCACTTTCCTCGATTTTATTTCAAGACTTATTATCTATGTTCCTCAAATTTTCATAAAATCTAACTTAGTTCTGCACATAGATGATATAAAAACTGTAGCAATATTTAAAATCTAAAATGTATGTTAATTTAGTAAAATGATCAATGACACGAGAATAAAATGTCTTGGAATATGAGAATACATATGTTCATTAGATAACCCACCAAGTCTACAGCAGCCCAAACTTAATCAAGAAAATGTAAATAGGAGACACACCTCCTTCTTCATCCGGTAATACTCATCAATGGCATACTGATATTTTGGGGTGCTGATGCCCAAAACAGATGCAATCTTCTCTCCAAGAAAGTCACAAACTAAAGATACAAAAGTTACAATACTTATACAATTTCATAAATTTATTTTAGCACTTTCTATTGCAAGGCATTGTAGGAATACACATTTGAGTTCCTGCTCTCAAGATTATGAAAACCAAGATCATTTCCCTTCTGTACATCTTTCTGGATTTCCCTAATAAGCATTAATGGCTCTCTCTGAGATCCCAGTAACACTTTGTGTTCAGACCTCTATTATAACATTTAACACCAGATTTTATAAGGATCTATTACATGTCTATTTTTTCAAGGAGAAATACTTTTAGAGGCATGATGAGCATTAGGCTGGAGGAGCAGAATAGTCTGTACTGTAATATTCACTAAGTGCTTACCATATGACAGGTACTGTGAAAAGTTAGGCTCAGAAAAGTTAAGGAATTTGCCCAAGCTGACAAAGCAGATCCAAATTTCAAATCCAAGTCTGAATCTAAAGCTCAAGGTCATTCCATTACATTAAGCTGTCTATAGCACAAGCTGAATGCTCAATAAATGTTTGCTGAATGAATTGCTATTTACAACTAGTTCTAATACAAAGCAGACAGTGATAGAAGATATGATGGAGTTAAAATTGGGAGCATTTCCTTCAAATAAGAATTAGTGTCAACTAACTACTCAAAATATATAAGTATACAAATGATTTATAACTACAGGCTTAGAATAAGCAGTCAGACCAAATGAAAACAATGTAGCAGTAGGGATCAAATGACAAAATAGTTGCTAAGCGAAAGGGTTCAAGAACATGGAAATCATATCTAATTTAATATAGTTATTTTTCAGTGTTTGGGTTTTCTTAAACACAAGCTGGAGCAGAAGATGTTTTAAGCTAAAATACATGCTAGATTAACACATGAAGTCTTCCAGTACTAGCCAGCTGCTGAAGATAGAATGATTTAACTCCCTACTGTTTCTCCATTTTTGGCAAAGTTCCTGTTCTTAGAACAAAACACATCAGTTGTACAATATTCAAACAGGAAAACAATACCTGAGAGGGTTGATGTGGCAGCCCGAAGCATGTAAAACCATAAGTAGGGGCCCCAGGTAAGTTTTGTCTGCAACAAGAAGTCAGGTTAGCAAACTTTATATATTTCAGGCCAAATACCTTAAGTAAAATAGCAATGGGTATGTAGAGTTATCTATTCCAAGGCAAAATTACAGACTACAATCAAATAACGTATTTATAGAACTTCCAAATGAAGGGGCAATCAAACAGAATTCAGATTTTTTTTTTTTTTTAAACTAACTGAAACTCTAAAAACAGGAGCTCTGGTAGTGGGTTTAGACACTGGGCTGCTAACCACAAGGCCAGCTGTTTGAATCTACCAGTCGCTCCATGGGACAAAAATGAGACCATCTGCTCTCATAAAGAATTACAGCCTTGGAAATCCTATACAGGGTAGCTATGAGTCAGAACCAACTCGGCAGCACATAACCACCACCACCACCACTAAAAAACAGACCAACTATTACTCCTAGCCCTAACCCAAACCCTACCCTAACACTGACACTAGTCCTAACCATAACCCTAACAATAAACAAAGTCCTAAGCCTAGCCTGGACCTAACCATAGTCACAACCCTAACCCTCAATCCTTACTCCTACCTGTTGTTAAGTGTTGTCAAGTCAGCTCCAACTCACAGTGACCCTGTATAGGGTTTCCGAGGAGTGGTTGGTGGGCTTGAACCACCAACCTTGCAGTTAGCAGTTCTGTGCTTATCCTAACATGCCACACCAGGACCTCTACTCCTACCTATCCACCAAAAGAAATATCTTTAAAATTACTCCAATGGACGAGTGTTGGCTATTATGTCAAAGTTCTGTCAAATAATACAGATGATACATTCAAATTGTCTAATAGAAGGGAGCGCAATAAGGGACCTATTTACAAAGATATAAACAGGGTTTAGAAAACCAACAAAGAACAATACTCCAGGGTTAGTAACAATAAAGGAACTGCTGTGGGCTAATGTGCTGGACTGCAATGTCGGTCTGAACCACAAAGTTGGCAGTTCAAGCTCACCAACCACTCCTTGGAAACCCTATACAGGGTAACTATGGGTCAGAACTGACTCAATGGCACTTAAAAACAACAACAACCTCCCCTAATGACTGAAGGGGTAAGAAAAGAAAAGAGCTGTTACTGGGATCCCAGAAGGAGTAGCCAAACAGAAAGCTTCTGAATAGGAGCTGTGATCTTTAGAAGAGAATGAAGTTGCCCCGGCTGAAACATCACCATAATATACTTGCATTCTACTAATGTTTAAAATCCCCCTCCAAAAATACTAATTTAGGTGGAAAATTTTGTAGATTTATTTTATGACCAAAAGTCTACATTAAGCTGCAACAATTAAAAAACAAAAATGGTGACATGTTAATACCATGTACATAAATAACACATCAACTGAATTCAGTGACAACTACCAGAGGAATAAGCTACATCTTCCTTAGCAAAAGATTTAAAAACCATCATTTTTTTATGTCTGGGGAGCGCAATGGTTCCATACTATAAACACTGGACAGAGGTTCAAGGTCTGAGGTTCAAGCCCACCAGCTGCTCCATGGGAGAAAGATGAAGCTTTCTGCTCCTGTTAAGATTTAAAGCTTCAGAAGCTCTACACGGGCCACTGAGTCAGAACTGACTCAACAGCACTTAACAACAAGCAATTGTTTTGTCTCAGTTAAGGCGGTCAACATGATAGTTACTCTTCATAAACTGGAAAATGTTTCTGAAATTTTATTTAAAATTTAAGAAAAATATCACTTTTCTCAGCCTCAGGATGAGTCTGTATCATAATAAGCTTCTCACTGGCAGTAGAGGAATGCTCCTCTTAAAAATCACTCTAGTCTTGATGACATCAACCTATCACCAAAGAAGACTAACTTTAAAACTTCACAATGGGTATCTTAAGATTTAATCACACAACTTAATTTTACACATTCTAATATGATGCTGGGAGTCCTGGTGTGGTGCTGTAGAATAAGCACTGAACTGTTAACCTCAAAGCAGTTCAAACCCACTAGCTGCTCCCCAGAAACTCTATACAGGGTCGCTATGAGTTGGAAACAACTCGACAGCATTTAACAATACTAACAACATGATGCTGAGTAAGAATTATGGGTAAAATCAAGAAATTTGTAATGGGTTTTTAAGTTCTAGTGAAATTTGAGATTAAGAGTTACAACCGCTATTATTAGTTGATGCCATCTTACATTTTTGTTAGGTGCCATTGAGTCAGTTCGAACTCAAAGCAATCCTATGCACAACAGAACGAATCAATGCACAATCCTGTGTCATCCTCACAATTGCTATTATATTTGAGCCCATTTTAGCTCCCACTGTGTCAATTCATCTCTTGGTGAGTCTTCCTCATTTTTGCTGACCCTCTACTTTACCAAGCATGATGTCCTTATCCAGGAACTGGTCCTTCCTGATAGCATGTCTAAAGTACAAGAGACAAAGTCTTACCACCAACACTTCTAAGAAGCATTCTGGCTCTACTTCTTCAATATTCTACAACACTATAATTCAAATGCATCAATTCTTCTCTTGTCTTCCATATTCACTGTCCAAGGTCTATAAATATATATGTATGTATGAAGTGATTTAAAATACCATGACTGTGGTCAATCACACCTTAGCCCTTAAAGTGACATCTTTGCTTTTGCAATAGATCTGCCTAATGCAATATGTCATCTGACATCTGACTGCTACATTCATTAGTGCTGACTGTGGATCCAAGCAAAATTATTTGACAAATTCAATCTTTTCTCCATTTATCATAATGGTCCAGTTGTGAGGATTTTTCTTTTTTTTTCACATTGCAGTATAATCCATACTGAAGACTGTAGTCTTTGATCTTCATCAGTAAGTATTTTAAGTCTTCTTTGCTTTCAGCAAGCAAGGTTGTATCATCTGTATATTACAGATTGTTAATGAATCTTCTTCTTCCCATCAGAATACCATGCTCTTCTGCATATAATCCATCTTCCTGGATTATTTGCACATCATACAGATTAAGTATATTGAGAGGATACAATTGTGACTCACAACTTTACTGAATTTAAACCATAAACGTTCCCTTGTTCTGTTCAAACAACTGCCTCTTGGTCTATGTACAGGTTCCTCATGAGCACAATGAAGTGTTCTCGAATATCCATTCTTTGCAATGCTATCCATACTGTTATGATCCTCACAGCTGAGTGCTATTGCAAGTCAATATAGCACAAGCAAATATCCTCATGGTATTCTCTGCTTTCAGCCAAGATCCATCTGATGCCAGCAATGATATCCCCCATTGTACATGCTCTTCTAAATCCAGCTGTTGATACACTGCTTCAACACTTTTTGAATTATCTTCAGCAGAATTTCACTTGCATGTGATACTGGTATTGTTTCATGATTTCCACATTCTGTTGGGTCACCTTTCTTCGGAATGGGCACAAATATAGATCTTTTCTTAATAGGTTGGCCAGGTAACTGTCTTCTAAATTTCTCAATACAGACAAGTGAGTGCCTCCAGCATTGCATCAGTTTGTTGAACGATTTCAATTTGTATTCCATTGACACCTGGAGCCTTGTGTTTTGCCAGTGCCTTCAGTACAGCCTGGACTTCTTTCTTCAAAACCATCAGTTCTTGCTTACATGCTATGTCTTGAAATGAGTAAGCATCAACCAATTCTTTTTGGTACAGTGACTGTGTATTTTTCTTTTTTTTAATCGAACAAAATACATCTTAATTCTGTTAGCACAGTAAGGTCCAGCAAGGCCGTGGAATTGCACATAGAATGCTCAGCACCAGCAGGATAAAGTAGAGAGGGTGGCTGGTTGGTGTTTACTGCTAGCATACCAGTCACTGCGACATTTGTATGATCTGGAGTAAGGCTGCCTAGACATCTTTATCCATGTGACCCTTTGCAGAACTAAAAAGATATGTCCAATAAACTGCAATTCTTTCTTGATGCTGCCTAGCAGCATCAGTCAGCTGCTTCTGGGATTTCAGCTGGTGTTCCTTCCATTTTTTTCTGAAATTTCCTTCATCATTCAATATTTTGCCCATGGTGATGGTGATTATGTGCTGTGGAGTTGGTTCCAATTCATAGTGACCCTGAATAGGGTTTGAGGCTGTAATTCTTTATGGGAGCAAAAAGTCTCATCTTTCTCCCGCGAAACAGCTGGTAGTTTCGAACTGCCGACCTTGAGATTAGCAGCCCGATTCATAACCACTACGCTTGCCCAGAAAATCTTTTAATATTGCATGTCAAGGCTTTAATTTTTCTTCAGTTCTTTCAGCTTGAGAAATGCTGAGCATTTCCTTGCTTTATGATTTTAAAACATCAAGTCTTTGCACACCTCATTATAACACTTGACTTTGTCACCTCAAGCTGCACTTTGAAATTTTCTGTTCAGCTCTTTTACTTTCTCTTTTTTTCTGGTCGTTTTAAGTTCTCTACGCTCAAGAACAAGTTTCAGAGTCTCTTCTGACATCTATTTTGGTCTCTTTTTTCTTGTCTTTTTAATGCTCTT